TGTTGCTATAATATGATTAGCTGAACAAGAGCCAATTAAACTTCCTCTCTGTTTACATTAAAAGTGAAATATAATACAGTTTTAAAAAGATTAGTAACAATGATTAGCAAAAATCAAATGACTGCCTTGTAAGCTCCTGCCATCCCTCTCTGGAATTTCAGAATTTCTCATCCCCCAACTCTATTCTATGGTCACATACCAGACAACCTATCTGTATTGAACTTAACGTCTGTGGGGTTACCAGCAAACAGGCATTTCAATGACAGCAGGCCTAGTTACTAGAAGCAAGAGGAACTTAAAAGTAAAGATGGTCAAAACAATGTGATAACCTTTGTTACAGCATTTTATAACAGTGAATATCAAAAGAAGAAACGTCATCCATACCTGCTGGCCCTGCTGCTCATCTAGCGTACATTGATCTGTATCACTAGGCATTAAAGCTTTCATCCAAGATACCATTTCCTCCTACGAACAAAAGCCTATATTACTCAACCTCACATAAGCTACATTTAGGTTGACTTCATGGTATATTACCAGCATTGTAACTAACTTATTATGTTAATAACCTGCTTTCTCTTGATGAATGTCATTTACTAACCAATCCTTTCTTTTTTAAGTCTTCTGGAATCCTTACTCTCTCTTTGAAAAAAAAAGTTTGCTGTGTGAACACATGCAACCTAACACTTGGTTTTCATACAATAGAGGTAACAATAATTTGATCCATGATCAAAATGCTCTGCTTGAAATGGTTTTGGGAGTGTAGGTGAGTTGTGTAGGTATGCAATTGGAACTATTTCAGATTTCAGATGGATGCTATTAAGAAACAATACGACCAATAAAATTAACCAAATTTCAGATCTATGCCTCTAATACTCAAGCTAGAAAAAATTATCTGTTAAAGTGTAGAGCATGTATGGGAATGCTATTAAAGAAAATGCAAATGATACTGTATGGCCATATTCACATAATTTGTGTGTTCTGTTTGCTGCTTTTTTATTCTGATTTGCTTTTGGTTTAGATCTTGTCTTATAAGGGGCAAGCACAGGGCAAAATGACCGGCTGTAAGAACAATTATTGTTGTGAGATTATGCAATATTACTGTGTAACCTCATATAGTCATCGGTCCTGTTGAAGGTTTGAGGATTTTATGAAACCTGAGAATCTCTCCCCTGATAAGTGTTAATAGCTAATGAAGATAGTGAAAACTCGCCTGATGAGAATTAATAGTTCATGAAGATAGTGAAAACTCAAGACGAAATTGCATTGTCGCATTTACAAAGCGGCAGACAAGATGATATTTAAGTTGTAAACTGCATTTGCTTCTAGTCAAATCCCTTCTAAACGGCCCAAACAGACCCAGGAGCACAGGTAAATAACAGTCCATTTATTTTGTAAATGATTATGTTATTGCTGATACAGTGTTCGCATCCCCTGCGCTTTGGGTGAGCAAGAAGATTTTCATGAACGCAAATCAAATGAGAGCTTTAAAGCTGCCTCCAGGCCAAAATTTAAGCTTGTTCTTTTGTTTTTTAAGCAGTGATGCAATGAATAAAATCCCAACTTGCGATGTTGCAGTGATCTCAAACCCTTTAGTGTGCGATATTTGTTTTTCATGCCACGGTGTTCGCTAAAATAAAGTTATTTGCAGTGCTGTGGTTTCTTGTTTGACCTTTCTCAAACCTAAATTTAGCATCAAAACTTTGTTAATCCCATGCTAATTTATCATGAGCACGTACCATTGTTTTCAACAAAATATACACACCATCGCTGCCTAGTTAAACTTCAATATGCTTCAGCTGCCAATCCGAAGCTGTTTTCATTAATACATAAGTTGACAAGTAACTTTACCTATGCTACAATGCACCCAGAGCTGGACCAAGTTTGTTATTGACTGCGTAGCTTTTTTAGCTGATTTATAGGCAATGAAAAGGGTTGTAATGTGTTCATTTCATGGAAAACAGTTAATGCTGCCCGAGACAATAGAAAGTTAACGAAGGTAAACGTTTGATTTACCCTGTGATCAACCATGGTTTAGGTCGGTAACCAAGGTTGAGATGATAGATATATCAAGTCCACTTGCAGTCGCATGGTACCTTGCACCCTGTAGTGTCCAGATTGCGTCAATCTCATTTGGTTGCATTTTTGACAACATTTGTTTTCATGGTAAAAAAGTACGCCAAATCTGCACCAGCCACTCGGACAATATATTCGAATGTTCCGCTAGATAGTCTGAAGTTCTCTTTCAACCATTTTTCAACAAAATTTCCGTGCGAAAGAGTTTCAAACCAGAATTGGTTAGCAAAGTCATCAAAAGTGCTTCCTCTCTGAGCGATTTCTGAAAGTTGCACATTTAACTAGAGAATGTTTGTGTGTAAACAAATACTTAGAAAGAATGTTCAGCCAGTTAATCAGCCTAGGGAATAACAGTTTATTTATTTTACATGGATGTAAATAATTGTTGTTTGGGTCCTCTGTGGTCTGAGTTCATTGACGGAAAATTAAATGTAACAAACAGAACTTAGCATTAACGCAGAGCCTGAATTAGGAAATTTTGAAAACCAAAGCAAATTTCCCTTTGGGAGAGTGAGAAGATTTTCATGAATGCAAATCGAATGGAAGCTTTAAAATTGCTTACAGGCCAAAATTTAAGCTTGTTCTTTTGTTTATGTTTGAATTCATGCTGACTTAAAGTCAAAACATGACATAACAGTCATGCAAATCTCATGGAATTCTTTTCTCGAGGAAAAGAAATGTATTCTGTAACTTCTTTGATCTACTTGGTAATGGTTGCCTTCACTGTGCAAAGTTCAAGGGATTTTTCATGTCACATTCCTTCGTTGTCCTGGGTCACATTACATGTAGGTTGCCTGTCTTGATCGTGCATGGTTGATTATTCACTCGAATTCGTGGCCATAATTTCCTTTCAGTTGAGCCTTGGTAAACTTGAGTGGCAGTTATCTTCGAACTAATGTAGACATCAGACCGAGAGGTGATTTTAAAATTGCTCACTTTGATTTAGAGGTAATTTCTAGAATGCATCTGGTTGAAGCATGTGGTGTTCGACTAAAAAGCAATAGGTTACAATAATTCTAAGAAGAGGTGGCAAACAGAATTAAAAAGATAAAGACAAACCTAAAGATATTTCCTCCTTTCGATGTGCATTGATGATGCAATTAACACGATTGCTGCATGATATAATACGTACTGAACAGAAGTCTTATGCCACGAATCACATGTATTTTACATGTATATATTTTAATTAACATATTTTAATGTAGTAGTGTACACGACCCCACAAGCTTTGTAACTTTGATTCTTACTGTGTTGAAATAAAGGTTTTGTTTATATGTTTATGTTATGATCAATGAGTTAAATTTTAAATCAAGTGTAACACACATAGGGGAAATGTCATGCCTGTTTGAATCCTACCTTAGCGTGAACTGAAAGCATTTAAACTTAGTTGAGTGATTCAAACAGAAAAACTTGAGTAATATATAGTCACTAAAGCCATTCGAAATGGATCATCACAATCAAGTCAATAAAGAAACAACTGTTCTCTGACGTTACTTGTAAACAAACTTCTTGGTTGAGGACATAGACTGCATGCAGTCTCTCTTTTGCTTGAAAATCCATGGAGAAGAACGCAACACACGCGAGAGGTGGGTCGTGAGTGTGCAAGCATGATATGCGAAGTCGCGAGCTGCCAACACTACTTGCAGCTGGCATGTCAAACTCACAGTCACACTTGTTTTGGTTTCTTCATTGCGTTCTTCCCCATGGATTTCCGAGCAAAAGAGAGACTGCTCACAGTCTATTGAGGACATCAAGATCAACAATGTTAAGCTGCTCTTGAGGAGTCTAGGAGCCTCTAGAAGAATGATCTTGTTGTTGGGACAATCCAGGACTGCGGCCTTGGTTTTCAGCCTGACTCTCCTCGCAAGCCCGTCTCTCTTGTTTCTGCCTGGTTTGACCATCTAGGAGAAAGTTTTTCTCATAAAGAAGTAAGTTCAGTTCAAAATGTCACGCCTGCCTGTGAAAACCAATTGCCTTCTTGCTTTTTTGCCTCGTGTCACTTAGACACGAGGTTATGTTGTGAGTTTGGTAAGTTCCTGTGTAAGACATTCCTTAGTGCAACCATTCTTTGCATTCCTAATGTAAGATTCCTGTGAAGGGCTGTAGATACCTGTAGATAGGTAGATAGATATGGTTCAGGCAACTTGCAGGTTAATCAATTTTGGCTACGTAAGACAGGTATAAAACAGGCCACGAATTGATGCCATTTGGAACTATTGATTTTAGAAATACCAGATTCAACCATGCTGTACAGATTCAAGACACCTTATTTATTTATTCATTTATTTATTTATTTTAAGGGGACTGGGATATAGACATGGAGACTCAAGCATTTGTAGCTATTTGTGACAGGCTGTTTTTAGCATTTTATTGTGTTAGTGCCTGAGCCCTCTGTTCACACAACTTGCTTGTGTTTAACTCAAATTTGACAACAAATATCAGGCTTAAAACTTTGAAGTGATGGGTTTCAGTCTCACAGAAAAATCTAAAGATGACAATGAGTGGATTAAACACTAACCTCTCAAATGCATTTTCTGTGAATAAGCATACCAGTATGACTCACAAAAATTAATTGTTAGGTCCATGATCAATATCTCACTGTATATATACCAAAAACCTAAATGACACACATATATAGTGAGGGTTCTGGTGCAGTGCTCACGCACACAGTGCAAGCGTAACGCAACTCCTCATCTCAAGATTCGGAGTTGTGTTACGCTTGCACTGTGTGCGTTCGCTTGCGACCAGAACCCTCACTATATATATGTGTGTGTGCGAGAACAGCAGTTGTCGAAACCAAATTTTCGACAACCAATTTTCGACAAGGACACAGTGTTGCGTGAGTGCTGTACCAGATATGTATGTGTATGTAACGCAACAGCACAGCAGTAAAATTTGGCGAAATAGCGGGTCCAGCAAAGGCGCANTCTTTCATATTTACAATTAGTGAATATCCTTCAACCACACTCCCTTATGAGCTGTTCAGCTTATGTAATGAATGTAAGTTACTGTTCTTCACCAAGCCCGACTGCTCCACTGAGTTCAGGCAAATTGAAAATACTTCTAAGCAAACTGTTTTGCTTTTTCTGTCTTCGACTGCTAATTTTCTCACAAAACTATGATTTCAAGATTTGGCAAAAACACTACAACCCTGAAGAAACAAACAGTAGCCCCTTTGAAACGGTTAACTTTTCTCGTTTGCATTACAATGTAATAATGTAACACAGACTGGATTATATTGTGAAGCGAATAAGAAAAGTCAATCGTCAAAATTACCATTAAACCAAGAAACGTAGACGTAACATCGCGGCTAATAACGTTTCCCAATTTAAAGTGGTGAGAGAATTGGGTAGAGTACAAATGTAAGCGATAATCAACATTGGGCAACATAGAGTCCAACTTGATATTACTACTTCATACTACTTTGGGGGGAGGGTGGTAGTGGAGGACAGGGGATAGGTTAGCGAAATCGCCAGTAATGTCTCATATTTCTTCCCCACTTATTTGTAAGGTAAAAACTGTAACAGGATAACAACCAAATTTGTCTTGAAGCTTACATGTACGGGCGTAAAGAACCCAATCAACTGCAGTTGTCCAATGACGTGTATTATGGAAAGGCATGGTAACTTCATTTCATGGTTAGTTCACGAAAGGCATGGTAAGTTCATTTTGTAAGGATTGCAGTGTTTGGCAAAATTCGGAAACTGCATAGTTTTCCAGCGTAGCGAGGCTCAAATACAATCCCTTACCAGGAAGGGCATTTGAGCCTGCGTTACACCACCACAGCGTTGTCACCCCTTTCTCGGTCTAACACCGGCACTGCGCTGCCGTTCGAGTACGCGGCTGAAGTGGATTGGGATCCAGTATCCGAAACTGATCTCATCTGGCGCTTCACTTCAAACACCTAAAGAGAAGCAAACAATCCATCAGTGGTTACACGATACCATCTATTCATTCAATATTTCCAATTCCCCCTACTGGTAAATCGGAGATACAGAAATTTCCCTCAGTAATGGATCACTTCGACGATGTCACGCAATATCAACAATTTTTCGCTTTTTTTTCCTACATAAACAAAAAGTACCTCCATTTATCAATGTACCATGCCCAATTTAGTACATTATGCGAAGTTTCAGAAAAATCCGTTGCAAACGCATGGAATTATGGGATCCCAAAGTTGCCAATTTTTAACAAAGAAATGTATGCCAGGGGGCAAGCGCCGCTCGCGAGTGTGACTCAAAGGTAAACCTGCGCACGGGCAGGCTAATATTCTACATACCTCGCTAATGGCCTGACGAAAGCAGTGGAAGTTGTAGTCAATCAAACCTGCAAAGCAAATTGAAAGATGCTTCCACTGTAAAATCTGCAAATCACAACCAAATACGTGATCAACTAAACCCATACACACTGACCTTTTTTCTCAAAGTTGTCTTCTCGTAAAATACAAACAAGGGCAAGAAACCTGCGGATTCAAGTTGATTATTAATTGATCTCTAAACTGTTGTACAGATCTCCTACTTTATTTCTACTGAGGTTAACAGAAGTCAGTTAAGCAATTTTCATGTTTTCAGTTCGTGGTTTCAGTTTATTCCAAAAATAAGAAAACATCAACAACAGTTTCATTAGAGAAAATACATGTACCACGGCTCTGTTCAAATTAACGCGTTTTCTTTTTATAAGGCCTATTTTCGGGTATGTTTTACCCTTCCCTCCTAGTCTGTCAAAACACCCTCTATTTTGTCTTTGCGTTCGTCGAGATCGCAAGCTTAGTAAAAATTAACCCGGCGCGTGGGATACGAACGGGCCAAAACTTAAGGGGGTGGCGAAGGGGAAGACGAAAAAAGCCGCAGGAAATTAAAAAAAAAAAAAAAAAAAAAAAACCTCCGCACTAATCCGTCTATTTTTGGCCCCCGAAAACGGAGCTGTTTGAAAAATTGAGTTCTTCTTTGCGTTCTCAAGCAAAAGAGAGACTGCTCGCAGAGGAGCAGTTATACGCGCGTCACGCAACAAGTGCATGAACTGTTGCGTGACGACGGTATCTCTTCCTCTTTGATTGCATAATAAAACTCTTACTTGTTGACTTCGCGGAGATACAAAATAGTTGAGTTGTTCAGCTTGATGATGGATGAGGATTCTACGTCATAAGCACTGCTGTCTCCTTCATCCCTTAACCTGTAAATGATTAACACACATATTTACTTTAAATATCAAAAGAGGGAAGGAATTTATTCACTTAACCCCTGCACCTCATAGCAATGTCAAACTGCAA